TTCTCCTCAGGCTGCAGATCAGGTCGTCAGTCTCAAGGCAATAGTCATCTCACAGTTCTACTGGGGCTGGAGGATCTGCTTCAGGCTCACCCAGATGGTTGTTAAGAGGCTCTCTTGCTACCTGGCGTTCTCCATAGGCAGCCTGAGAGTCCTCACAAACTGATAGCTGGCTTCTCCAAAGTGGGCGATCCAGTACAGAATGAGCAACACCACACGTACTTTTATAACTTAGTCTCTGAATCACACCATCACTTCCACCTTTTTCTATCCTTTTGACGTAAGTGCAACCCACGGCCAACTGGAGGGGATTAGACAAGGGCAGGAATCACTGGGGACCATCTTGAAGACTGGCTACCACAATGAGTTAAAATAAAATATATCCTGGGATGAAGAGTAACAAAATGTTTCAAGATAAGTAAAAGTAAAGTGATAGTAAAAGTGATAGTAAAAGTAAGTGATAGTAAAATCACTAAGATTCTGTATTGTAGATTTATAAAAGAGTCCAGTAGAGTTACAGCATAATTGCAAGATAGGAGTTTTGTTTATTTTTTTTAATAAATAAATTTTCTCTTTGTTCTTTGGCAGACCTCTAAGAGTGAGTTGTGAATGTAAGGACAAATAGTTAGAACTGATCGAATAAGAAACTCAAAAATTGGGAATTCCCTGGTGGTCCAGTGGTTAGGACTCGGTGCTTTCACTTCCATGGCCCAGGTTCAATCCCTGGTTGGGGAACTAAGATCCAAAAAAAACTCAAAAATTAAAATTGGGTTCATTGGGCCCAGATGATATACTCGGGATTAATGTCCACTTTCTGCTTTCCTTAGAAGTTTTAAAAAATTTTCTTCCTATCTGTTGTTTATTAAAATGGATATTTCAGGACCATAAATTTTTCTCTGACAATTTAGTTGTATTCTGTAGAATTCTTATTTTCTAGATATTCCAAATTTCAAAATTTTGTTTTTAACTCTAGAAATGTTTTAATTTCAGGTTAATTTCAATTAATTTCAGTTAATTAATTTTTAGGTTAATTTTACTTTCAGTTAGGTTTAATTTCTAGTTTTATTGTATTGTAGTTATAGAATGTTGTTTTGTATTGTTCTAATTACTATTTTTTAAACACATAATTTTGATCATTGTTTTTAATATGTTTTAAATTCTGTTAGGACAGATCAAATACCAGTGCTCCTTAAGAATTTTTTTAAAAAATACTCTTGCCCATTTATTCCTTCAAATGAATTTCACAATTAATTTGTCTAAATATCTAACTATCCCATAAAGATTGAAATTAGTATTGTTTTTTACACTAGCATATTTTTATTCTAATTTTATTTACCATGATGCATGTGTTGCTTTATGTTTTCTTCTTTATGATTTTATAAGAAAATAGATTTTTAAATTTCATAATTGTATGTAGACTTTTTATCTTTCGGATTCAGGTGCAGCTCTCTCCCAAGGAGGATGGTATATTGATGTGCCCTGGTCGATGTGAACAGAAGTTTCATCATTTTCTTCATGAACACTTGGATGGGTGCATGTCATCATTTCCCCTTGTTGCATGTGACTCATGCTTAAATAACCAGTTAGCTATTTTGAGGCAATAATCAGTTTGAATAACTGAACAATGGAAATATGAGTGATTAAAAGAAATTCAAGGTCACAGTGCAGAAAGTCAATCTGTCAAAATCACAACTGAACCCATTTGTATATTGTAACTTTCTTAGTAAGTATGTTAAGATTTTTATCAATGCCTTTAAAAATAAATAACTTTTTTTTTTTTAAACCTTGACTATCTGAATATTTTTCTTTGGAATATATACGGTAGGTTGGAGTCTGTCTAAAGATGTAGAGAAAACTACTCAGGCTTATTCGGGTAAAGGGTAATATTGTAAAGATACAACCAATTGTAAAACAATGTTGCTGGTGATCCAAGGTTAGGGAACAAAGCCTAGCTGAAGCTGAATGTCAGAGGACTGGACCTGGCCAGTCAGGAACCAAGGCTGTGTTCTGTTGCTTGGATGTCATATTGTCATTCTCCTCCTGCACCTTTTCTTATCTGTCTGCCTCTCTTCTAGCCTCCTCCACACCCTCCTCATGCACACTGCCTAACAGGATTGCCCAGGCCATTCTCTCTTCATCATTACCTTGCAGTTCCATCTACCATCCATTTGACTATATCTGTGTCTCTCAGTTCAGATTCTCTGGAGAGGTAGAACATAGTACTGTTTTAGTTTAGTCTAAAGGATTGGTGTTCACATGCCTGAGATTCTCCCTAGTCCATTTAGCTGTGGGAGAAGATGCTAATATGTAAGTGTTATTTCTTTCAGAGGTTTTGCTTGGGTAAGCTGCATGTGCCTAGCATATTAGTAGCTGCCCAGTATTTTTTGAGTAAATAAGTGAATATTCAAGTGCCTGGTAAGTAAGCTTCGCAGAATGGAATGTTCTATGGATTAAGCTTTTTTGTACAGGTAAGTAGAGTTTTATCATTTTTCATGACAATTAGCTAATATTTTATATTAATTGCCTAAAATATGCCAGGTTAAATTTAGTTATGAAGGTAGCTTATTTGCTTTCTAAGGTTTTTGGATGTTACCTCCCTTAATATTTTACCTAATACAGTTGGAGAGTAGTTGTAGGTTCAGGAAAGTCATTCATTTCAGCAAATATTTATTCACCTTTGTGTTAGGCACTGTTCTAGGTGCTTGGGAACAAAACAGATGAAAGTTCCTGCCTAGAGTGGTGGGAACTAGCTAGTAAACAAGTGAAATTTATAAGGTGGCATGTAGTGATTCATGTCGCAGAGAAAAGGGAAACAGGAAAGGGAGCTGGCAGAGTGGGATTGGAAGCAGGGATGCTTTTTAAAAAAAGAACAGGGAACTCCTAATTGAGGTGACATTTGAGCAGAGATCTGCAGAAAATGAGAGCCATTCACATAAGTGAAGAACCTCCCAAGCAAAGAAAATGACAGGTGCAAAGGTCCTAAGACAAGAGTGTGTTTAGCATGTTCAGGGAACAGCAAAGAAACCAGCTTGGCTGGAGTGGAAATGAGCAAGGAGGAGAGATTAAGGTCATATGTAGGCCATTGCAAGGTCTTCAGCGTTTCTTGGGAATCCATTGGAACGTTTTGAACCAAAGGTGTTGCATGATCGGATGCATAAAAAGAGGCTTCTGGGGGGAATTCCCTGGGGGTCCAGTGGTTAGGACTCTGGGCTTCCACTGCAGGGAGCACGGGTTTGATCCCTAGTCGGGGAACTAAGATCCCACATGCTGAGCAGCGTGGCCCCCCAAAATAATAATTTAAACAAAAAAGAGGCTTCTGACTGCTTTGTTGAAAATAAACCATAAGTTTCAAGGGAGAGAGAGCAGGCCGAGTAGGGCTTGGATCTGAGTGTGTTTTCCAAGTGGAGCTCAGGATTTGCCAGTAGGTTCCATGTGGAGTATGAAAGAAAGGAGTCAAGAATGACCCCCAAGGTTTTTGGCCTGAGCAAGTGGGAGAATAAAGTAATGAGATGGGGACTTCCCTGGTGGCGCAGTAGTTAAGAATCCACCTGCCAATGCAGGGGACACAGGTTCGAGCCCTGGTCCGGGAAGATCCCACATGCCATGGAGCCACTAAGCCCGTGAGCCACAACTACTAAGCCTGCATGCCTAGAGCCTGTGCTCCGCAACAAGAGAGGCCACCACAATGAGAAGCCCACACACTGCAATGAAGACCCAACACAGCCAAAAATAAATATGCTTATATAAAGTAATGAGATGGAGAAGTCTGCATAAAGAGTACTTGTGTAGAAAGGAAGGAGGAGTTGGGTTTGGACCTGTGTAGTCTGAGGAGTTGGATATGAGTAAAGTGTTCAAAGGAGAGACCTGGGATAAAGATGAACTTTTAGAAGTTAGCATAGACCTAGAATTTAAAGCCGTTCATCAGGATGAGATAGCCGAGGAAGTGCATATAAATAGATATGTCAGAGGAGAACTCTGGGGTACTCCCAATGTTTAGAGATCTGATGCGAGAAGCAGTAAAAGAGACTGAGATGGAGCTCTCAATTAGGAGGAAACCCAGAGTGATGCCCTGGAAGCCAAATGGAGAAAGTGTTTCGAGGAGTGATGGGCCATATCAGAGCTACCAATAGGTCAGATGCTGCTAGCAAGTCACATAGGATGAGGACAAAGAAGTATTTGTTGAATTTAGCAGTGACCCTCATAAGGGCTGTTTTGGTGCAATGGAGGAGGTGGTAGAGAATGGAAAAGAACAGATGAAGACAGCACATGTAAACAACTCTTTCAAGAATCTTTGTATTTCTGAATTTTTGTTATATTTGGGTATTAGTGAAATTATATTTGACATAACTTTAGAATTTTTTGTGAATCTTGGTTGTATATATGTGTATGTGTAAATTTTTTAATGTAAGATTTCTTACTGTGGGTCATGGTGAAAAAAGGGTTTAAAAAATATGGGATTAGAACAAGAAGGTGAAGAGAATGTTTAGAAAAGAGGTAAAGGATATGGGAGATGTTACTCATGTGAGCACAGGGGAAGGATTTAGGGAGTTGGAGAAGGTTGGGATATGTGATCAGAAAGGGAGAAGTTTTGAAACATAAGGATGAGTGTCAGGGCAATGAGGGATGACCTAGGAGTCCTGTGGAAATTGATGTATACTGGAATAAAGGGCATAGTGACCTTATGATCCAGAAATAATCCATTCTCTGTAAAGGGCCAGGGTAAATTAGTTCAGCTTTGTGGGCCTCTAAAAATGTAAAAAAAAACATGCTTAGCTTATAGGCTGTGGTCATACTTTGCTGCCCCCTGCTTTTTTTTGGGGGGGGGGCATGCCACATGGCTTATGGGATCTTAGTTCCCAGACCAGGGATTGAACCCAGGCCCTCAGCAGTGAAAGTGCAGAGACCTAAACTCTGGACCACCAGGGAATTCCCACTGCCCCCTGCTTTATACTAGAAGCCCTTGGCAGAAGCTCTGGACAAATAATTTGCATGGAGTTCTGTTATTTTTTTTAAGTATTTTTAATAGTACATGTATACGGTACAGAATTCAGATGATTATATGCAGGATAAAGTAAACCTCCCTACCATGTCCACTAGCTATCCTGCTCCCCTCCCTGGAATCTATCATCATTTACAGTTTCTTAGTTAAGAAGTTTTCTATGTATGAACATGCATGTACATATATGCTCTCAGTCAATCTTAAATTTAACTAGATTCATTTTCCTTGAGGTTTGAACTATGAAATGTAATACTTGTACCACTTATGACGTTATTGCCTTCATATCCAAATCCAGCCTTCACTGCCTACTCTGCAGTAATGAATCTGGACCCTGTAACTACCCCTCCCTTGTCAGCAGGTACAGTGTAAAGCTTCGTCAGTAGAGGGCGCTGGTGAGACACAGGAGGGGCAAGGGACTACTTTTCTTGTGTCCAGTGTGCCTCTCTAGCAGACACCTGCAGCACATGGTTTCTGCAGCCTTGTGCAGTGCCTGCCTTCAGCAGTGGCCAGCAGCACTCAGCAGCCCCACGTGGATGGCTTTCCCTGGCACCCCCAAAACACTTTCTAAGCAAAGTGCTCCAAGCTTATACCTTCTTGGGCTGCACCTCTTTAATTAAGCCAACCGCTCTGTTGTCCATGGCTGTGCCTTCTCTGTCAAAGTCTAGATCTCAGCCCTGGGGTACTTTCTTTGGGTGCTGTCTCTCAGCCTAGCATGAAGAGCCATAAGCTCTTTCCTGTACCTGCTTAGAGTTCTCAGTTTCATAATCAATCCTCATTACTCCAGTTTCCTGTTACAGTGAATAACTCTTTATAGTAAACTTTCCCCAAATTACTGTGTGGTTTCTATCTCCTGATTGGACTCTGATACAAAACGTAAAACCTTTCTGATTAGAAAAGCATTAGATACAAAATCAGACAAGAAGATAATCTATCTCCTAGATTACCTTCTAGTAATCTCACCCTCCAGAGCAACTATTAATGTTGTAATGCTAAACTAGTTTTATGCTTTATTTTAAATATAAAAATAAAAACAGCTACTTGTAAAACAGAAAGCAGTACAAAAAGGACGAAAGTAAAAAATAATACCTTCCTGTCCCCTTTCTACCCACTTAAAATAGTTACCACTGTTAACATTTCCTTGTGTATTCTTCCAGAAATTCTTAATGCATCTAGAAACATGAGAGTATAGTTTTTAAACAAATGGAATCATACCATATATACCGTCCCTGTGTTTCATGGTAAAAATGAAAATTAAGGTAAAAGAATGGTTGTTTTCCAACTTATACTAGCATTATGAATTTGGATTGGCCTTCTAACCATTCAGGAAACTCCGTTGATTAACTGGTAGGAATGAAATTTTGGACACAGGCACAGATGTAGACAGTCACATCAAATGTAATACCTTGAACATTATGAAGTCACTGACAAAATATGTTCTCCCTGAGCAAAGTGGATTCATAAGAAAATTTTAAGGCCATTATAAATGCATATGTTGGACTCTTAAACATGTGGTTATCTAAAAAAACACTGATACGCAAGATTCTTGAAAACACAGATTTAGCTAATTTCCAATAATGCTAAATTCTATTCTACACTTTTTTGCTGTTACAATAAGCATTGAATCAAAAGCCTCTAGAATACAAGCATTTTCCCTAAATCCTATTTCTTCATATCCAACACAGTTGGTAAAGGGAAGGTATAAGTAAACCTTACTATACCAAAGTTAATTAAATGTACAAAACAGACCCTACAAGGATTAAGGAATATCTCTTGTTTCACCTATGTGTGAAAGTGATTCAGTCCTTAAGTTAGCCATTTTCTAATAACTTGAATACTCCTTTCATATTGTGGCTTTAAGATAGATTGGTACACCTCTCCCTACCCCCTTCTCTGTGGCTTTGTTACTGTTTACCATAGTTAGCCTGAAAGCCTGATGCTGACCCTGGGTAATGAAGAGTTAGATGCGTAAACTTGATTATAGGTCTGATCTTCGGTTGGGGAGGATCATTAGGGACATCAAAGTTACTGGTCATAAACTGTTTCTTAAGCTCAGTAATGGGTAAGCAGGTGTTTGGTTTTTTTATTACATGCCATGCATTTTATTCTTTTGTATGCAGTATTTAATAAGTTTTTGGATAATTAGGTTTTTTAAATTGTTGACAAAAATTTTCTTGATTTAGCAGTTTTTAGCTAAATCTTCTATTTCTGAATGATTGGAGAGAATGGCAGTACCCATTTCCAGTGAAGAGTGAAGTGTTTAGATAGAGGATGCCTTTCTATCACGGCATTAAGCAGTGTGATGTCTTCTGCATCCAGGAGCCAACTTAACATGTTAAGTCTAGTGAGTCTTGGCAGTCGTAACACACATTGACTCAAAGACTTGACTGTTATGGCCTGAGCTTTGATACATTCTTTGAAATGCCTGGAAATTGTTAACTCTTGCAAGTTGGGCATGTTGTCCAGTGTTTGAAAGAAGTTTCTGTATCCTTCCTCTGTAATCTTGTGGTTGATTGAAAGATTAAGATTCTTGAGTTTCTGGAAACCTCCATTGATTGCTACCTTGGCTATAAATATAAAAGCAAAATATTTATGAAAACAGAATAATAAGGACTTCTATTTCAATACTGGTAGACTAGGTTATTTGAACCAACCTCTTCTACCACCATCACTTAAAGTAGAAAATGCCCAATTTTAATAAAGATATATAAATTTAACAATAAGTATATTAGATAGATTTACTTCTAATTGGAGTATTAAAGATTAATAAATTACATTTAAAAAAACCAAACTGGGGCTTCCCTGGTGGCGCAGTGATTGAGAGTCCACCTGCCGATGCAGGGGACACGGGTTCGTGCCCTGGTCCAGGAAGATCCCACATGCCGTGGAGTGCCTGGGCCCGTGAGCCGTGGCCGCTGGGCCTGCGCATCCGGAGCCTGTGCTCCGCAGCAGGAGAAGCCACAACAGTGAGAGGCCCGCATACCACAAAAAAAACAAAAAACAAAAAACTATATTTTTACAACAGACACACTTTAAATATAAGGACATAGAAAGATTAAAAGTAAAAGGGGGAAAAAAAGGAAAAAGTAAAAGGGATACATCTCTAAATAACTGGTGTGGCAAAAAAATGACAACTGAAGTTAGAAAATATTTTGAACTGAATGAGAATAAAAATATGACACTAAAACTTGTGAGAGGGAGCTAAAGCCAAAGTTAGTGCTCTAACTATCCATCTCAGAAAATTAGGATATCAAAAAAAAAAAGAAAGAAAGAAAGTAGGACAAGAAAAGCAAATTATATCCAAAGAAAGTAGCAGGGGATAATAGAGGTAAAAGCAGAATAAATGAAAAACGTGTAGAGAAAAAAAAATTTAATACAATTGAAAAACCAACCAGGTAAAAAAAGTATTGAATATATCAGGAATGAAAAGGGGACTATCAATCACCATAGGTCATACAGATATTTTTAAAATTATAAATATTATGAGCAATTTTAGAAAAGTTTTTAAATCCTTAGAAAAATGTAACTTGCCCAAACTGCACCAATGATAACACAAACGTATACCAATAGAAAACCCACAATGAGGTATCGCAACAGATTCATCAGAATGGCTAAAGTTTAAAGGTCTGACAATACCAAGCAGTAGCCAGAATGTGAAACAACTGCTGGTAGGAATGTAAGTTGGTACAACTATGGAAAACAGAATATTTACCAAATGACTCAAAGTCCGCCCTAGAAATACCTCCATATATGCATCAACGGTCACATACAAAATGTTCATAGCAGCATTATTCATAGTAGCCAACTCATATCCAGTTGAACGGATAAATAAATTGGCGTATGTATAGTCATACATGGGACAATATACAGCAATGAAAATCAGTGAACTCTATAGTCAAACGTATCAGTATGAATCAGTATCACAAGTATGTTGAGCCCGAAGAGGCAGTCACAATAGTACATACTGTGGAGGATCCCATGACATATATTTTTAAAACAGGTAAAACTATGGTGAAAGAAAGCAGTATGGTGGTCACCTTTGGGAAGGAGGGGAATGCAGTGTCAGAAGGGACACAAAGGCGGCTTCTGGGATGTAATATTCTATATTGTAACCTAATGAGTAATTGTTACACAAGTATGAGTAACAAGATTTAAGTATGTTCACTTGAAAACTCATTGAGCTGTACACTTAACGATTTTGTACTTTTCTTTACATGTATTAATTTTCTATTTTAAAAAAAGTACTATAAAAAGGAGTACATGGTGGGTATGTGGCCAGGTGTCTGAGACACTAGGTGTTAAGAATGGACTTGAGGGCTCGTGTAGTCTCAAGTGGGAGGCTATCTTTTACTTCTAAATCTGACCAGAATGAACCAAAATCCATAGAACATTAGAGGGAACAATATGATAGCAAAAATGAGGAAGTGGGTTGAACATTTTTAGGGGGACGAATGTTTTTGTAGACATTTTGCAGCAGAAAGCTTGAGTAATACCACTGGCTTTCATGTGAGCTGAAAGAGTTTATCTGAGGGTATCTCACCAATTTCCACCACGCTGTCATCATCCAAAGTCTGGAAAAATGAGAGAATGCGGAGACATTGAAGATGCTGACATTGCTGGATGATCAGTTTGGCCACTTGATGAATCCCATCCCCAGTAGGAAGGATCAATTCTTCCAGGTTATTTAGAGAACCTAAAGTGTAGGCTATCAGAAGATATTAAAAAGCTATTCTCTGTACTGTGTTCCCAAACAATTGTAATTGAAAGTCTCAAAATCATGCACATTCTACGAGTCCCCATGTAGCATAGAGGCTATTCCTCTTTCTCTCCAAGAAAGGGGTCAGCCTACACCTTGACCTTCATTGCTACCTCTAGACAACCATTCCTCCACCCTTCCCCAACCAGTCTCTCCTGTACTCAAGTCCAAAAGGCCTATCACATCTCCATTTCCTTTTTTGTTGGCTGCACCACACAGCTTGCAGTTCCCCAACCTGGGATTGAACCTGGGCCTGCGGCTGTGAAAGAGTGGAGTCCTAACCACTGGACCACCAGGGAATTCCCATCCATTTCCTCTTTTATTTAGACTGAAGCTTCTACTGGCTCCAGGAAACTCTTCCTAGCTCCTCAATGCCTTCAGCCCCCTTCCTTTCTGTCCTGGTATCATCCTTAGTGAGTTCTGCCTCTTCCTCCTAGAACTAAATCCTCACAATCCACCACTCTCATAACTTTTCACTTTGATCCCTCCTTAGCATGGCTTCGCTTGTTGCAGAGCATGGGCTCTTGTAGCACGGGCTTCAGTAGTTGTGGCTCACGGGCTCTAGAGCACAGGCTCAGTAGTTGTGGTGCACGGGCTTAGTTGCTCCACGGCATGTGGGATCTTCCCAGACCAGGGCTCGAACCTGTGTCCCCTGAATTGGCAGGCAGATTCTTAAGCACTGTGCCACCAGGGAAGTCCCCATTTTTGTTGAAATAAATTCTTAATTTTTAATATGCTTCAGTTTATCTTTTAAGACTTGTTAGAATTTTTTTCCAGAGCATACATTGCTTTTGTAATCATAAAAAAATAAGTTGAAAAAGTAATCTCTATAGTTATCATTTTGTTAAATCTAGGTTTTCATATACTGAGTTTTCATAACCTTAAACGATAGTTTCACCTATATTCTAGAAACCTTTGAAACAACAGGTATTTAACTTGTCTGGAATGGATACCTGGCAATGAAATTGCATGGTGCTGGGACTTCTCTGGTGACCCAGTGGCTAAGACTCTGTGCTCGCAATGCAGGGCACCCAGGTTCGATCCCTGGTCAGGGAACTGGATCCCAATGCCGCAACTAAAGATCCCGCATGCTGCAACTAAAAGATCCAATCCCGCGCGTGGCAACGAAGATCCCGCATGCCATAACTAAGACCCAGTGCAGACAAATAAATAAATAAATAAGAAATTGCATAGTGCTGTAACAAACAAATCTGTATTCAAAGAAATGAGTCACTCTGAGAACATTTCTTTGAAAGACATCAAGTGAGATCAAGGCATTTGGAGGGTAAAAGCTGAGCAGCACTGTCCCTCCTAATGAGCAAGGGCAGCTAATACATGTTGTAATTTGTTATAGCTAATGCAAAATAGGAGGATTTTATGGGGGAAAGAATAAAGAGCAAGCTTTAGGCACTGTTTTATAAACATACCAAATTTTTCAGCTGTTTCCTTATCAGGAATATATTGGTGCTCAAGATTTAATATCTTCAGAGAAATAAAATTTGGTAAAACAATGACTATAAAAGGGAAAAGAAAAATTTAGTTATGTCAGCTACATTTCTTACACCAAAAAATAATGTGTTTAAAGAGTATTTTAAAAGTGATAGAAATTAATATAATAATTCAGAATATAATAATTCAGATTGTTTAAAGAGTATTTTAAAAGTGATAGAAATTAATATAATAATTCAGATTGAATTAATTAGTATGACAAGTAGATAACACAAATCTTTGCTCAGGAAACAATTCTCATAACTAGAAATGTTTAAACATCTAGAAACAAATATACCTTACTTGAAAATTCATTTAAGATCAGATATTTATTGCAATAGTTTTGTTCTTTGACATCAATTGCATTTTTAAAATCTGGCTGTTAAAAAATGACTGTCCACAGAAGCATCTTAAACCAAAATTTTACAATTTTAGCTCTTACCAAATGGGGCGGCTTTAAAAAATGGTCCAGTAAGCTTAATTTCTTCAAGTTTCTTGCAGGAAGCAAGTACAGTCATGAGAGACTCAAGATCCGAAAAGAAATTACATTGCAGATGGAAAACACGAAGGTTTGGAGAATTCTGAATTAATTTGACTGTAAAATATCAAATTTAAGGCATCAGAGATTGGAAATTTCTATCAGAATTAGTCATTTAATTTATTAACTTGTTTCAACAATAGTGAATTAAAATAAAGCATCATGATGTAATGAATTGGGCTTAGGTTCAGGGTCTGTGACTAACTGATGAGCTACGTGAACCGTCATTACTGACCCTCTCTGGGGAATCAGTTTTCTCCTCTATATAGTAATGGCATTGACTCAGCTAAAACCTTCAGCTTTAACATTCTAATGTCTCTAAGTTTGCACATGATGTTTACACTATAGAAACACTATGCAAAGAAACATAAAGGCAGTGACAACTCTGAAGCAAAACTTAAATTTGAAAAAATTGCTGAACAATATAAGAAAACTACTACTTCCAGCTTCAGCTACAATTTTTTTTGCACGCAGCTCTGCATGTCAGTTCAGTAGAGATTTACCTTTTTTTAGTCTTTAGTCTTTACTAAACTAAGGAATTGATGATACCTAAGTCATTTTGCTAAATGATATATTTAAGAAAGATAGCTGTACAGGTTGTTCATCAACCATGAGAATGGTTGATGAAATATATTTATAAAGGCTGATGAGAAACAGGGAAAGGCTTCTGATTACTACCAATCATCAGATTTCCTTCCTTCTTATCTGGCAGATTTCTAAGTTGCAATGTAAGAGCAACTTAAACAAAAACAAAATAAAAGAACTCTACAAACTATTTTTGGAGAGGCAGTACATTCCACTGGTTAAGAGCTCAGACTTAGAAGTCAGAATTCCTGTGTTTAATTGCAAATTTACTATTTCCTTATCTGGGTGACCTTGAGCAAATTATCAATACTTAACCTCTATAACTCCATTTCCCCAACTGTAAAAATTAGAATATAATAGTATTTACCTTGTAGAATGGGTATGAAGGTTAAATGAGTTAAGATTTATAAAGTGCTTAGAACAATTCCTACCATGTAGTAACAGCTCAATAATTACAAATAGCTGTCATTTTTTAATGACAACAAGTGCTATTCCAACAATTTACCTTGGATACAGGCTACACCCTCAGATCCACAGAAGCTTTAACTTAAATAAATTATTGGCCAAGTAGGTTTTCCAAGTGATACAAAAACAAGTAAATCAAAGTGCCACACTTACCTAGTTTGGAAGGACCGTATTCAGCTAAAATTTGGATCAATAATTTCTCCATATGGTGGAGATTTAGGAATTCTTCAGGAATGACTGAAAAAACATCTCGTTTATCATCCAGATTCACAGACAGTTCTTTCAAGCACAAGAACTTGTCCAAACTAAGAAAGAGTTGATCTAGAAAGTAGCACACAGTTTCCCATTATTAATCTAAAGAGCTCCAAATGCAAAATTTCAAACTGTCATTTGATTCATCGAACTATTTTCATATTTCAAATGAAAACCTTTCACATACCATAAGACTTCCTTTTTTAGAAAGCACATATATGAAGATAATGCTTTCTGCAGCATTTACTGATTATGTCAACTAAAAAAAATATATGTACAACCTAAAAGTTTTGAGTTATGTTTTATTCAGTGGACATTCTTAGGACTTCAAGTCCGGGAGGCAGCATCTCAAGTAATCCTGAGAAAACTGCTCCAAGGAGGTGAGGCGGGGAGCTAGGATATATAGGAGTTTTGCAACAAAGGCAGGTAGTCAGAACAAAAGATTACTGTTAATAAAAGAAAACTAGATATCTCAGGTTAAGGAATTTAGCACTTTTCTATGTATGGGAAGATGCAAGAGTCTGGGGTCACTAAAATCATTCTTTTGATATGCACCTCAGCTATCTGGGGCCAGTATCCTGTGTTTTCACATCCTGAGTTTCTTCAAGCTGCACCCTTTGGGGTGGCTGCAGTCTGATGACTGCTAGATGGCAGGTATTCTTTGTTTCCTTCCTGAGTTTCCTCCGGGCTCACTATCAGGGATGGCTACAATTGCTGATAGCTACAACATCCTTTGTTTACTGATATGGCAGGCAATATTTTACTTCTCATCTACTATATGAGAAGCTCTGTACTACACTCTGGATTCACAAAGACATCTCAGCAAATGGGGCTGGGACAACTGAATTTCTCCATGCAAAGAAGTTGGACCCTTACCTCCCACCACCATATACAGAATTGGCTCAAAATGAATCAACAACCTAAATATAAGAGCTAAAACCATACAACTCTTAGAAGAAAACAGAAATAAATCTTCATAACCTTGGATTTGAGAATAGATTCTTAGATATGCTACCAAGAGCACTAGCACAAAAGAAAAACAGACAAATTGGACTTCACTGAAATTTGAAACTTTACAGATTGAAGTACATTATTGAGACAGTGAAAAGGGCAATCTATCGGAGAAAATATTTTAAAACCAAGTGTCCAATAAAGATTTAATTACACAAAGAACTCCTATAACTCAAAACAAAAAGACAACACAATTTTAAAAATGGACAAAGGAACAAACAACCCAATCACAAAATGGGCAGGAGACCTAAAGGGACATTTCTCCAAAGAAGACATACAGATGGCTAACAAGCACATAAGATGCTCAACATTGCTAATTATTAGAGAAATGCAAATCGAAACTACGAGGTATCACCTGACAATGGTCAAAATGGCTATCATCAAAAAGTCTACAAATAGGGACTTCCCTGGTGGCGCAATGGTTAAGACTCCGCCTGCCAATGCAGGGGACATGGGTTCGAGCCTTGGTCCAGGAAGATCCCACATGCCACAGAGCAACTAAGCCCGTGCACCACAACTACTGAGCCTGTGCTCTAGAGCCCACGAGCCACAACTACTGAACCTGCGAGCCAGAACTACTGAAGCCCACACACCTAGAGCCTGTGCCCTGCAACAAGAGAAGCCACTGCAACGAGAAGACCACGCACCGCAATGAAGAGCAGCCTGCGCGCAGCAATGAAGACCCAACGCAGCCAAAAATAAATAAATAAATAAAATTTTTTACAAGTCTCCAAAAATAAATGGTGGAGAGTATGTGGAAAAGGGAAACCCTACTACACTGTTGGTGGGAATGTAAACTGGTGCAGCCACTGTGGAAAACGGTAAAGAGGTTCTTTAAAAAAACTAAAAAATAGGGACTTCCCTGGTGGCGCAGTGGTTAAGAATCCGCCTGTCAATGCAGGGGGCACGGGTTCAATCCCTGGTCCAGGAAGATCCCACATGCCGTGGAGCAACTAACCCCATGCACCACAACTACTGAGCCTGCACTCTAGAGCCCGTGAGCCACAACTACTGAGCCCACATGCCACAACTACTGAAGCCCGCGCTCCTAGATTCCATGCTCCACAAGAGAAGCCACCACAATGAGAGGCCCGCATACTGCAACTAGAGAAAGGCTGCACACAGCAATGAAGACCCAACGCAGCCAAAAAAAAAAAAAACTAAACTAAAAATAGAGTTACCATATAATCCAGCGATCCCACTCCTGGGCATGTATCAGGAGAAAACCATGGTTTGAAAGGGTACATTCACCACAGTGTTCACAGCAGTACTATTTACAATAGCCAAGACATGGAAGCAACCTAAATGTCCATCAACAGACGACTAGATAAAGAGGATGTGATGCACACACACAACGGAATATTAGCCATAAAAAAGAATGAAATAATGCCATTTGCAGCTACATGGATGGACCTAGAGATTATACTAAATGAAGTAAGTCAGACAGAAAGACAAATATCATATGGTATCACTTCTATGTGGAATCTAAAAAAGTGATACAGATGAACTTATTTACAAAACAGAAATAGACTCACAGACATAGAAAAAAAACTTATGGTTACCAAAGGGGAAAGGGGAGGGAGGGAGGGATAAATTAGAAGTTTGAGATTAACAGATACAGACTACTATGTATAAAATAAACAAGGACCTACAGTATAGCACAGGGAACTATATTCAATATCTCGTAATGATCTATAGTGGAAAAGAATCTGAAAAAGTTTATATACACACACACACACACACACAATCTGAATCACTTTGCTGTATACCAGAAACTAACACAAAATTGTAAATAAACTACACTTCAATTTTTTTAAATGGGCAAAAGGATTTAATAGACTGTCTCCAAAAAACACACACTAACAGCCAATAAGCACATGAAAAGATGCTCAACAGCATTAGTCATTATGAAAATGCAAATCAAAACCAACGTGAGATACAATTTCACACCTATTAGGATGTCTCTGATTTAAAAAAAACAAAAAAGCATTGAGGATGTGAAGAAACTGGAGCCCTTGTACATTGCTTGTAGGAATGTAAAATGCTGTGGCCAGCGTGGAAAACAGTTTGGAGTTTCCTTGAAAATTAAAATAGAATTACTATCATTAATAGCCAATAATTCCACTTCCGGGTATATATCCAAAAGAATTGAAAATAGGGTCTCCAAGTAATATTTGTGCACCCATGTTCATGGCAACTTTAGCCAGAATAAACAGTGCAATTGTCCATCAACAGATGAATTGATTAATAAAATGTGATATATACATACAATGAAATATTATTCAGCTATAAAAGTAGTGAAGTTCTGACGCATACCACAACACGGATGAACCTTAAAAACGTGAAAGAAGCCAGACACAAAAGGACAAGATATTGTATGGATTCACTTATGTGAAACAGAATAGACAAATTCATAGAGACATCAGCATCTGGGGAGAAGAAGGAGGTATTGTTTAATAGGTACAGAGTTTGGGATGATGGAAAGGTTCTGGAAGTGGATAGTGGTGATGGTTGCACAACACTGTAATTGTACTTAATGCCACTGAATTGTATACTGAAAAATGATTTTAAGGTTTCATGTATGTTTTACCATGATAAATATTTGAAAAAACAAAATTTTTCTAAATTTGATGATAAATATCAACCCACAGATCCAAAAAAAATGTTCAGTGACCCTCAAGTAAGATAGATACAAAGCAAAGCACACCTAGGCATTTAACAAACTGCTGAAAATCAAACCCATACTAGCAACAATCCGAAAATGAAAAAATTTAAATACCATTTACAGGAGTATCAAAAATACAAGTACCTAGGAATAAATTTAATGAAAGATGATAAAGTCTATACTGAAAACTCTCAAACACTGCTTAGACAAGTGAAAAGAGACACAAATAACTGGGAGACACTACTTCCCACTTGTTTATTTCCCAGAGTACAAGCCCTTTCTTCCATGAAGCAGGTGGGGTGAGGGTAATTCTCAAGCATCATTTACATATAGATCATTCTTTGACCAATAACAAGTCATTTGTTTATTAAGAGACCTCATTAGTCATTGTATTATTTTTATCAGAGTTTGAAAGCCATTCTGTTATTTGGAAGCCTTTCACTAATTCATATTACTGACAGAAATAAGTTAGTAAAGATTTATTTTATATCTGTTCAATCAGCAAGGATTTATGGTCTCACACTTTCAAAAGTTTTCATCCACCTAAAACTAAGAGTGAGAAGATAAGAGTACACATCCTAACAGTCATCTAAAACAGATGCAGGTTTACCTTGTAGATGGGTTGTCTTTGAGACTTCAAGAGATTCTAGGGAAGGCAGAGTGAGAAGCAATTCCTGTTCTACTGCACTCAGCTCAGATTGGCTTACGGAGCACTTGGTGAACGAGGCCTTATACTGCTCAAGAGCTGGGCTGATGCTTTCAATAAAACCCGTGCTCCTGGTCAAGTGGAGTTCAATGTGCTGTGAAGCTGAGAAAACTTTCGTTAGAAACCTTAGCATCTCCTGATCCACAGCATCAGTACCAGTCACATGAACTTCCAGAAGGGGAATCTTGTACTGCTTTGGAGAAAGGTTCCAATAGCCAGTGCTGATATCTGCTGGTGCCTTGAGTTGCATGTTCAGAAAACTGTTCACGGTTTCCTCTTTTTCAACTAAATTCTGCTTCCATTCACTCTCAAGTTCAAAGGCAGAAGCATAGTCCTGATCTATGGTTGGTGCCTGGGATTTGTCGAAAATTTTTTCCAGTAATGAAAAATCTGTTTTGCGTAAGCTATTTCCTCTTATGGAGACCTGGACTCTCCCCAACAATAACAGGCTTTCTGGGTGGTCAAAAAAATACTGTAACTTAAGTACACTCAAAGACAGGGTTCTCCCTTGAAGGAACTGCAAAATGAATGGAGAACAGGCAGCAACACTGTTGCTTCGATAAGCAGTTTTTACAGCCAGAACCAGTAAATGTTTTGAAACCAGTGAAAGGTAATTTTCTGGAGAGTATTGCCACAACAACCGGAGACACTGCATTTGCTCTGAAATCTCTGGATGATGCTTCAGGTAGTCATCATTTTCAGATATATTCTCCAGTGTCTCTTGATTATCCACCAAAAGAAGCAATTGGGATACAATTGTTGGCCCTGCCTTTGTTGAAGAGTGGCAAGAGACATAGTTCAAAAAATTTGCATAGGGACCTATAGCCATCATGGCTGAGTTAATTTGTTTCAAATAATGAAGTCCCGAATCTTGATCCTCTTGCCTATCTGAATCCAGGAGTTCAGTCAGCCTCATCCCAGCAAGAAATTCTTGGAATGAAGCATTCAAAAACTGATAGACTGGCCTCAGTCTCTGGGCTGTGAATTTGCTCATCAGGTACATGGCTAGATCTTCATCTTCACCAATCCCTACTTCTAGGAGATCATCATCACTAAACTCAAAGCAAGATGAAAAAAAACCTTTCAAGGCCAGCTCACCACAGGAGGACACAGTTGCTTTGAGAAGGTCAGCTGCAGTTTTGTGCCTTAAGAAAAGGCATTCTATATAGGACTTGAAAACAGCCACATCATCAAAGGACTGACAAAAAGGATACCGAAGCCAATTAGCACAGACTGCTGCTACGAAGAAGGGAGTTTTCTGAATTCCCAGCCATGTTTCGTTAATTCTAAAGTCAACCATAAACTTTCGCAGACGGGTCAAATCATCTGGAAAGAGCTTCCGTAATATATAGAGGGTATTACAGAAGGGAAACGCTTTGATCTCTAGAATTGTATCTAGGTGTCGGCGGATGTCCTTAGCCCTGTTTGTATGGACAGCAATCAATAAGCAGGTCCTTGACAAATGGTTTCTTTGAATCATCCTCTCTATGCTTTGAGGGATTGAGCACATCTCTTTGTAGTCATCCAAAAGGAATAACACCTGGTTCTTTAACTGCTGGATGATGTTCCACAGGCCCGTTTCAGTAACAGATCCTTCTGTCTCTAGGAGTTGGTCACAAATGACATTGGCCAGCCCCTGGTCCAGTCTGGTAGAGCCAAGAGAGACGTAGAAAACCAACTGGAACCTGTGTAACAAGGGACAGCATCCTGAGGCCCATAGAAGAGCTACTGTCTTCAGGAGGACCGTCTTTCCACTACCAGCTTCACCCTCCACACACATGACGGAGTTCAAGTTAGCAAAGACCTCAGGCAACACCACAGGCTCCTGCACAGTATTGGTGATGTGTTTTGAAGCAAGGGACAGATCACAATTCAGCAGCTGATCGGTGGCTAGACAGGAAGAGACCTCAAGCAAAGACATGTGGCAGAAAGGGGCACTGGTGTAGGCTTTTCTCAGGCGCTCACTCAGACTTTTTGCCTCCTGAAGCCACTGGGCTTCACCATGGGCCACCTCTGTGGAGAAAAGCAAGGAGGCACAGTTATAAATACTTTTTTAAAATCCCCTATGTAGAAATATATGTACACATTCATCTAATCCCATGTGCTACTTCCAGATCCTTACCTGGCACTGCAGAACTCACTGCTGACTCTTCAAGATTGCTTTCACTTGTAGTTTCCTTTGAAAAGAAAATCCTCTATTAAATCAGCATTTGTATAAGAGGGTGGGGCTTTGAATTACAATTAGGGACCAGACATTTTCTAAACCCAACCCATCCTCAAGTTTTTACGCCAGTTGCAGGGAGGAGTGCTACAAATATGAAACAATAAGTGATCTGCAAACACACGCAAGCGTGTGCTCCTGGGTGATATCCAAACAGTGCATTCCATGGGTGACTTGAGCTGTGATTACTGTCCAGATGATTAGAATCACAGTGTCTAGAGCAAGATGGACCCTCCAGAAATCATTAGGTGCAACTTCTGATCTTAGTTATCAACAGTTTTTTAAATATTACATACCTGGGATATAGGAAGGTTATGTTTCTTCCTTTAAAAATAAGCTATTTAAGGGGTTCCCCTGGTGGTCCAGTGGGTAAGACTCCAGCTTCCGGTGCAGGGGGCCCGGGTTCCATCCCTGGTCGGGGAACTAGATCCTGTATGCATGCTGCAACTAAGAGTCCACATGCCACAACTATGAGCCTCCATGCCACAACTAAAAGATCCCACAGGCCACAACTAAGATCCGGCACAGACATAATAAATAAAAAATAAATAAATATTTTTTTAAAATAAGCTAGTTAAGGGAGGTGGGGGGATGAGCAAAGATGAATCAAGTGAACGACAAATTACCTTGTTTTCTTTTTGGGGGATGACGAACATAATACACCTAACATACAGCCTCAAATAAGGGGTGTGTGTGTATTAAACTGGCAGTGGCTAATCTCCTAGAGAACTATGTAGAATTTCTCAGTTTAAAAAGGGGTCAACCTATTAATCTGTATTTTTGATTTGGTTGGTTGGTTGCTGTTGTAAAAGAAACATATCTTCCCAGCTTTGAGAAAAGCCAACTACCAAGTCAGACCTTACTGTCCTCCAAATGACGATCACAGATGGAATCCAGGTAGCCTGGATGCTAATCAACTTTTAGGTCCAAACGAGTCTGGGCCTCACAGTAGAAGGGATTGACTCTACATTTCATGAAACTAGGTATTATGTTTTGTTTATTGTAGCATCCCCATCTGCAACTGGCGCATGATTGGTGCTTAACAGATATTTGTAGAATTCATTTATTTATTTTTTTAATGATGAGCAGTTCCTGTTCAAAAACAGTTTTTAATCACATGATCACACACTCTGAAAATAAACAAGGTGGCGTTCATACCATTAAGTCAGAAAGTTCACCATGGCTCTGAAGGTCTGGAATCACTTCTGCAGAGCACTTCATATTGTGGAGAAACTGACAACTAAGCACAAAAGTTAAAAGTTATAAAAATAATTGTATGGGACTTCCCTGGTGGCGCAGTGTTTAAGAATCTGCCTGCCGATGCAGGGGACACGGGTTTGAGCCCTGGTCCGGGAAGATCCCACATGCTGAGGAGCAACTAAGCCCATGCCCCACAACTACTGAGCCTGTGAGCCCTAGAGCCCATGAGCCACAACTACTGAGCCCACATGCCACAACTACTGAAACCCGTGCACCTAAAGCCCGTGCTCCGCAACAAGAGAAGCCACCGCAATGAGAAGCCTGCATGCAGCAACGAAGATCCAACGCAGCCAAAAATAAATAAAGTAATTAATTAATTTTTAAAAATAGTTGTATGCAATTAAGCATTTACATTAGGTTTTCAAAAACACTGTGAGAGTTTTACTGGCAAAAATTAAGTACAAAATTAACATTTCCAGTGATTCTGTCAGTGTCTTTATCAAACAAGACATGTAGACTATAAATCTCAGCAGTAGAGATATAAATGGTTCATAAAGTAGTGGTGGGGATAACCAGCCAATTTGGTGGAATGGGAGCATATTTAACACTCATCCATGAGACCAACTAAAATGAACCTAAAGGAAAAAAAAAATAGAGAAGACAACTCTATCTATGGATTCTGGAATAATGACAACAAAAAGGACATTAGTAGAAAAAATGGTGAAATATGTATAACATCTGGAGTTGATAGCAATGTACCAGTGTTGCTTTTTTAATATTAATAAATGTACCAGGATAATATAAGGTGTTAGTATTAGAGGAAACTGGGTGTGGGAATATAGGAACTCTCTGTATTATCTTTTCACCTTTTCTCTAAGTCGAAAAGTTTTTCCAAACAAAAAGTTTATTTTAGAAAAAAACTCCATCAATATGAAGACTAAAGAATGGCCACAAACATACTCTCTAAAAACAATTTGCTAGACATCATGAAACTGGAACATAAAATACCATCTAAATTCAGGTTATGATGTCTGCCTGAAGAACCAAGGAAGAAAATTCTAAAGAGCTCTACCCACAATCATTAACTTGGATAGATGAGAACTATAAATGTCAGTAGGTAAATGATAAAACTAGAAACAATTATCTTGGTTTATTTTTATGCTGCTGAATTACAGGAAAGCAGGCGATAAAGCAAGAGGACACATCATTTTTATTTTCCTACTTGAAGATGAGCCCAGGAATAGAAGGGTAGCTACAGGAAGATAGCTAGTAGGACTTCAAATGCTTCTGTCCAAGGTCACTATGCAGATAGACCCATCAAGGAAAAGGACTCTGAAGGAAGGTAACATACAAGCATTTTCATACAAGTAAAGCCAAGCAGACCAGCACTACAAGAAAAGTTAAAGGAAGTTCTTCAGTTAAAAGGAAAATGATAACAGATGCAAACTTAGTTCTACCCAAAGGAATGAAGTGTGCCAGGGATGGTAACTCAATGGGTAAACAAGAAATACATTTTTTCTCTTTTTAAAATGTATTTAAAAGATAATTTTTAGAGCAAAGATATAATACTATATTGTGAGATTTAGAATATATGTGATGTAAAAATGTATGAAAACAAAATCGCAAACAATAGGAGGGGGAAAATAGAAGTATACTGTTATATGGTTTATACATTATATGTCAACTGTGATAATATTATTTGAACATGACTGTGATATGTTAAACATGCATTATGATTCTAGAGCAGGTACTAAAAAGATAAAGATGTACATCTAAAAAGCCAACAATAGAGATAAAATGGAACACTAAAAAATACTCAAATGCAAGTCAGGAAAAGAAGAAGAAACAAAGAGCAGATGGGATAAATAGAAACAAATAGCAAAATAGTAGATTTAAATCCAACCATATTAATAATTATATTAAATGTAAATGTTCTAAACACTCCCATTAGAAAGCAGATATTGGGGAATTTGTTGGGGGTCCAGTGGTTAAGACTCTGAGCTCTCACGGCCAGGGGCCCAGGTTAGATCCCTGGTCAGGGAACTAAGATCCCACGAGCTGACAATATGGCCAAAAAAACTCAAACAAACAAACAACAACAACAAAAGAGAAAGCAGATATTGTCAGACTGTTAAAAAAAAGCAAGACCCAACTATGTTGCCTACAAGAAACTCACTTTAAATATAAAGTCATAGATTAAAAGTAAAATGATTTCGGGAATTCCATGGTAGTCCAGTGGTTAGGACTTGATGCTCTCTGGGTTCAATCCCTGGTCGGGGAACTAAGATCCCTCAAGCCACGCAGCGTGGCCAAAAAAAAAAAGTAGAATGATTTCAAAAAAGGTAGTGTCATGTAAAAACTATACAAAAGCTGGAGTGGCTACATATATTAATATCAGATAAAGACTTAAGAATAAGGAGTACTATGAGAGATAAAGAGAGACATTTCATATACTCTCTGAATATGAAAGAGGAAAGGGCAAAGAATAGCCAAGGTATGGTCCTGAAGAAAAAGAACAAGGAAACTGTATGGGAAAATATGAAAATATGCTCAACATTATTAGTAATTAGATTGACAAAAATTAAAATTTGGGCAATACTAAATTAGTGAGGAAGCAGACAGAATGGAAACATCTATGCTAGTGAGAATATAAATCAGTACAACCACTTCAAAAAAAGTTTTGCATAATCTAATAAAGTTGAGTATGTGCAAACCCTATTACTCTGCAATTCCATGGTTGGTTATGCATCCTGGAGAAACACATGTGAGCACTGGGAATTATGTACAAGAGGGTTCATAGTGGCATTATTTGAATTGCAACACTCTGTAAAACAACCCAGATGTTGAATCTAGAATAGAATGGATAAATTACATATTCATAAAACAATATACTATATAGCAATGAGAACAAGTGAACTGCAACTCTATACATAATTATGAATGAGTCTCAAAAACTTTGTGTAAAGTTTGAGTAAAATAAGTCAGTCATCACAGAAGAACCATGCAGTATGCTTCCATTTATTTGAACTTCAAGAATAAGCAAAGTTAAATGTGTTTAATAATACACATGTAGTTGGTGAAACCATTAGGAGAAGAAGGAACAATTAACCCAAATTTCAGGATCATGTTTACCTCTGAATTGGAGGGACAAGGATATAATCAGAATCGGGAAGGAGGGCACACAGTAGCATTCTAAGGACTTGATAATATTCAATTTCTTAACTTTAGTGCTGGGTTCATTTGTTTCTTTGTTAATTGTCCTTTAAATCATACATAAACATTTTAGGTACTCCTTTAAATGCATCCTAGTTTGTGATTTTAAAAAAGAGGCAGGGGCTTCCCTGGTGGCGCAGTGGTTGAGAGTCCGCCTGCTGATGCAGGGGACGCGGGTTCGTGCCCCGGTCCGGGAAGATCCCACATGGCGCGGAGCGGCTGGGCCCGTGAGCCATGGCTACTGAGCCTGTGTGTCCGGAGCCTGTGCTCCGCAACGGGAGAGGCCACAACAGTGAGAGGCCTGCATACCGCAAAAAAAAAAAAAAAAAAGGCAGAAGGGGCTTCCCTGGTGGCACAGTGGTTGGGAGTCCGCCTGCCGATGCAGGGGACACGGGTTCGTGCCCCGGTCCGGGAGGATCCCACATGCCGCGGAGCGGCTGGGACCGTGAGCCATGGCCGCTGAGCCTGTGTATCCGGAGCCTGTGGTCCGCAACGGGAGAGGCCACAACAGTGAGAGGCCCGAGTACAGCAAAAAAAAAAGAAAAAAAAGAGGCAGAAGATCTGAGCCTCACATGGAGCACCAAAAAACAAAAACAACAACAACAAAAACCACAAAACAAACAAACAAAAAAGGCAGAGGAAAAATAAAAATGCCACACAAAAAGGGAGTTGATAGAGTCCAGGAGAGGGTCTAAATAAAATTAGACTGCATCCTAGCTTATTTTTCCAAGAATTAAGAAGAATATCCCCACTGTTTAAAAATTTACAAAATATTAAATCCAAATAAGAAAGAAAGAAACACAACTACTTCTGTCAAAACACCTTCAAAACTGTATCCTCTTTAGAATCTTAGAATTAGGTGGAAGTATTTAAGACCTGTTTATATTAATATTTATTTCTGGAAGAGCACTTACTAACAAAAAAATGTTCTCTTACAGTTGAACATTTTTGAAGAGTTTGGTGAGTGAAAAATAAGCCAAAAAAAAAAAAAAAGGTTAAAGAGCTACAGAAAATAAATATTAAAAAGTAGCCATTTATTCATGAAATTTTAGAACACTGGAAACAAACAGAAAATCCTAAATGCATCCAGGATGGAAAAAGTAGTTTGCAATGAAAGGATTAAGAATCAGAAAGACATGGAATTTCAACAGCAGTATTGGAAGCTATTAGAAAATATAGCAATGCCTGTTCAACTTAGAATGACTTCCAACCTGGAACTCTACACCTAGCTAAACTACCAAATGAGTGTGAGAAAATATATACAAATATTCAGATATATGCATTAAATGGAAGCTAAAAACATGTATCGCTTCTGCAGTCTTTCCCAGGGAACTGTGGAGGAGTGTTCCAAAGTGAATGAATAGAGTGAAGTAAGTCAGAAAGAGAAAAACAAGTATCATGTATTAACACATATATGTGGAATCCAGAAAAATGGTATAGATGATTTTATTTGCAAAGCAGAAAAAGACATAGAGAACAACTGTATGGATACCAAGGGCGAATGGGGGTGGTGGGAGGAATTGGGAGATTGGGATTGACACACATACACTATTGACACTATGTATAAAATAGGTAACTAATGAGAACATACTGTGTAGCACAAGGAACTCTAATGCACTGTGGTGACCTAAATGGGAAGGAAATCCAAAAAAGGGGAGATTATATATATATATATATATATATCTGATTCATTTTGCTGTACAGCAGAAACTAACACAATATTGTAAAGCAACTATACTCTAATAAAAATTAATTAAAAAAATAAAAAGACATAATCCAATTCCACAATTAAACAAAACAAAACAACAACACAGTGAGTGAATAAACCAAGAAGAGGGTGACAGTAGATCCAGGAAACAGGAGCTACAACACAGGAGAAAGGCAATAGGAATCCCTAGGATGACTGTGAAGAACGATCTCAGGATCCTAGGGTGACTACAGGACAAATAGTTCATACTGAAGCAGGTCAGAGACTTCACAATAGACTCCTTTAAGAAAATGAAAATGGTGCGCTATCTTACAAGTTTGAATGACCGGACAGCAAGTTTTAAACATTTGGGAGAATTTGAAGATGAACTGGTACTAAATACATTTTAAAACTAAGAAAATGGGTATATTTTTTAAAAAGGAAAATAACAAGTGTTGGCGAGGAGATGGAGAAACTGAAATACATACATATATATCCATATACACATATATCTCAGCCATAAAAAAGAATGAAGTACCGATACATTCTACAAGATGGATGAACCTCAAAACATGGTGCTAAGTGAAGTCAAATACAAAAGATCATATTACATGCTTCCATTTACATGAAATATCCAGAACAGTAAGTCTATAGAGACAGAAAGCTGACTGGTAGCTCTAAGGAGCTAGGGTGCACTGGGGAGATAGGGAATGACTGCTTAATGGGTACAGAGTTCTCTTTTGGGATAATGAAAATGTTTTGGAATTAGACAGCAGGGGGTGGTTGCATAACATTGTGCATGTACTAAATGCCACTGGACTGTACACTTTAAAATAGTTTATGTGTGAATTTCACCTCAAAAACCAAAAAACTAAGCAAACATACTAATAAGACAATTGTTACTTACTACAAAAATTGGAAGTGGTACAGGGAGGGAAGGTAAATTATTTATTACTAGGCTCTGCCTTTATGAAGTCATGCTAATGTAAACATGTAATGTGAAAATAATGATTGAACCAAAACTGTGCTGTGACTATAGTGAGAGGAAGGCTAGATGGGAAAGGGGTCATGAAAGCAAGGGCATGAAAGAGAGAAAGACTCATCCTTCATCGTAAGAATCAGAGAGGTGGGCAAAGACTTAATCAGAATATAAAATGAGGGGAAAATTGCTAAAGTATCAATACATCCAGATTCATAGACACTAAACATTCATTCTACTCACTTGGGAAAATATTTGGTGTGTTCTTCTAATGGGTCATCACCTTCCTCAAACTTATACAAATATCCTCCACAGGAAAAACACTGGACGAAGTCGCTTTTACCTAGAAGTAAGGAAATTTGATCAGTGCCACTGGCCAGTGTATTTGTCGAGTGACACACATAATAACTACCAGGCCTTTATTAGCAAAACCCTACTTGCACTTTCATTCAGATTTTGTGACAAAGTCACAAATCGGGTCACCAGTGAGGAAATATTCTATTTAGGGCTCTTCTCTCACCAATGGGGTCATGAACAAGTAACATTCAATGTTCCTATGTACCACGCACTGATTAACACCCTCTCCCTGTCCCCTCCTCATTCTATGGAGCAAGAGATTTGCAAATCAGAATGTGGAATTGAAGTTCCATGAAGGAAGAGATTTTTTCCTGTTTTGCTCCCTAATGAATCTCATGGACCTAGAAGAGTGCCTAGGACTTACTAGGCACTCAGTAAGTTATTTATTTAATGAATAAATCAGAAAGAAAATATTTGGAGCTCAGGAAAATATATATGATCAAATATAGCAACTCTCATGTCAGTAAGTTCGTGAAGAAGCAAATGCCTCTTACTACATTATTGCTAGGTTTATTCCACTAGAAGTAGGATCAAGTCTTCATGTGAGACTCTATTTCTTTGGAAGGAAATTAGCATTTGGATCTACCAAAAGATTGAACTAGAAATGGAGCATCCATCATCTTCCTTCTCTTCTTGGACTCCTGTAGGCATCGTAAAGCCAGAGCAGAGGAAAACCTCCCTTTGTGTCTGGATAAAAATAGGAGGTCCTAGAGCTTGCAAGACCCCAAAAGGGTGAGATGCCTAGGATTTGTGGGGAGAGGAGGAGGTTCAAAAGGAAGAGGGTGAGGACACTGGACAGAGGGTCCTAGAGGAAGGCTGGCAAGAGGAAGACAGAATGGAGAGAGCAGGAAGAAAGGGTGGAACACCGCCTTTCCAAATGCTTAAGCCTGTGAGGCATTAAGATTTTTTGTACCAGTGGAACATGTCAGTTCGAGTGAACACTACATTCCCCTACTCTGTACTGCTCTGTGGTATTCTTGACTTGACCCCTCTGTAAAAGGTCCACATGGACCTCCACTGTAACTTAGCATGTGTGTTTGGTCTGAAGAAGGCCAGCAAGGTTCCCAGGAAGGACACAATATCCTTTCACCTTATTGTACCTCAGGCAGAGGTTTAGCTGAGGGGAACCTGCCCGCTCTTTGTGCATTACAGAGTGGAACTCCCTGATGACCAGCAGCTCAAGAGAGAATACTATGAACCGATGGAAGATTCTACATGCTTAGGAATCATTAAAAGCAATTTCCTTACTTTCTCTTCCAAGGAGTGTGTGGCAAAAACTGCTATCCACACTCCTAGTTATCTCTCATTCTTCCATAGTAACAGAAACCCCAATTTTCAGCTGGGCACATTGCTACCCAGAAAAAAATTAAACGTCCCACCTCCTCTTATAGGTAGGTATGGCCATCTGACACAGAAAGGAAAAGGAATATATAAGGAATAATGAGGGAATTCCCTGGTGGTCCAGTGGGTAAGACTCGGCGCTCCCAATGCAGGGGCCCGGGTTCAATCCCTGGTACGGGAACTAGATCCCACACGCATGCCACAACTAAGAGTTCACATGCCACAACTAAGAAGTCCACATGCCGCAACTAGGAGCCCACCTGCTGTAACTAAAAAGAAAGATCCCGCACACCACAATGAAGATCCCATGCGCTGCAACTAAGACCCAGCACAGCCTAAATAAATAAATAAATATTTTTTTTTAAAAGAAAAAGGAATAATGAAAAGAAGTAGGGATTGTTGAGCTTAGTTAAATACGAGCCCAGGATCATGAAGTGTATGTGGGGTTTAAATGGGCAGCAAGGCAAGAGCCTGGGGCAAACTGCTGACTCACCCATGTAGAAAAAACCTGCTTTGGCCAGAGCTGCAGCTCCCACCGGGGATGCCTGGGGCCAGTTCTTGAAAGAGTCCAGTCGGAGTTCTTCATTAGCAAAGATGCTGCCATTGCAACACACTTGAATAAAAAGCGTATGGTGAGACCAGCAAGCTTTGATATTGCAAGTATCAGTGTTTGAATTATCCTTTCATATTTACAGACAGAATAATATGTTTGGCATTTGCTTCAATATAATTGAAGGAGGGGATTAAAAAAGAAGAAACAGGCAAGGCCAGACTGACCACATGTTGAAGCAGAGTGGTAGATGCATGGTGGGGATTTACTATTGTCTTATTTCTATATAGATTTAAATTTTTTTATAATAAAATATTTTCTAATTATCTTTTCACCATATAGCATCAAGATAAAGCAAGAAAAAGCTAGAGGAGCTTCCCTTCCACCCCAAGTTAGTATCAGATTTGAGAAAGGCAAATTTTCCTTGCAGCTCCCTTAAGAGCAGGCACATTTGTTTCTTGCCCTTTGGGTATCCACTCTATGCAGTGGTTTCTATTAGACTTTCCACACTGGGCTGGCCCTGGGGTTTGGTTCCTGTCTTCTGCACCCTTTGAAGATCTGAAAACCAACTTATGTTTATTAAATATGTTAATAAAATTAGATACTGCAAAATCCCTTAAGATGAAAGCTTGCTTCATTATTCCACTTAGCCGCAGGATTCCTGCTGTCACTTTAGTTTTAACTGGAATATGACTTAATGTACTGGAAAAACCTCAGTCTTTTCCTCCTGTGTGTCTCCTTTACTCTCACACTACCATCACATTCACGATACTTTTGATACAAGGTGTATGGGGGTTTTCTTCCAGTAAACAATTCTCTGCAACACCAGCCGGGTGTCCTACAATTTAACTCTGTTCCAACACTGTCTACTTAGTAGTGTCAGATCCTACAGGTTAAAGGCTCAATCCCATAACACTGCTCCTACCCCATTTCATTTGTTAGAGTGGATCACAGAACTCAGAGAAACACTTATGTTTGTTTAGTAAAGGATATAATCAAGGGTACAGATGAACTCGCTAGTAGAGTGAGATCTGGGAGCTTCTATCCTCATGGAGTTGGAATGTGTCACATTCCCAGTGTGGATGTGTTCACATACCTGAAGGCTCCTGGAAACCTGTACTACTGGGATTTTTATGGAGGCTTCCTCACACAGGCATGATCGATCATTAACTCCATTTATACTCCTCTTCCTGCTCTGAAGAATAGGGGGTGGGGCTGAAAATTCAAACTTCTAATCATGGCTTGCTCTTTCCAGTGACCAGCTCCCATCCAGAAGCCATCCAGGAGCTCACCCAGAATCACCTCATTGGAAACCAAAGACGCTCCCAGTGTTCTTATCACGTAGGAGTTTACAAGGTTTTAGGAGCCCTGTGTCAGGGACAGCGTCAAATATCCAATATTAGAACAAGAGATGCACCTCGTGATGTTATCACTTAGGAAATTACATGGATTTTAGGAGCTCTCTGCCAGGAACTAGGGGCAGAGACCAATATTTATTTTCTATTATTTCACATTTAATTTCTTAACAGACACTGATCCATTTAAGAATGTTTTCAAAAGCATTTTATCCAGAAACCTTAATTGTTTTAAAGGAAATTCAGTCAAGGACCCAACCCTGACATATTTCCCTATGCTCATTTATGTTAAAAAACTAAGTCAATCCAGGAGACCAGAAACTCTAATGAAATGTTTTAAAAAATTACTATGGCACCATAAAATGAGGAGGAAAATGGAGGGGTTAAAAAAAAAAAATTAGGCTGAAAAAGAAAAAGCAAAAGAAGAAATAAACAAGCAAAGCTTTTTGAAATAAGTCTGAATCTTTACCTGAAGCCATAGGTAAATCTCTCCTGACCCACGAATTCACAAAATGTTCTCCCTGGAGAAAATTAAAACTCAAGTTATCCTACAAACGACTATGTATAAAACAAATAAGCTACAAGTATCTAATGTACAGCACAGGGAACATATCCAATATTTTATAGTAATTATAAATGGAGCATAACCTTTAAAAATTGTGAATCATTGTGTTGTACACCTGAAACAAATATCGTGCATCAATACCTCAATTTTAAAAAATTCAAGTTATCGACTTGGAGCATACAACTATCTATGAATAAAAATTAAAAGAACTCCCTCCTCCAACCCTGCCCCCAAATGAAGTTTCATTGGATTGAGTGTCAGTGTTGTTAGAGAATTATTCCTTTAATTAGTATTTCTATTAATGTTGTAATTTTTTATGCAGCGTAAAGGGAAGAAAAAAATACTGTGAATGTTTATTTATACTCAACAGGAAGCCGTCTCCGGGTCGGTTTTTCCAGAGATCCAACTCAAAAGCTAAGTTACAACAAGATATCACAGAGGTCCTTTGACTAATGAGAAGTATGAGATACAGGAAGGAAACTGGATTCAGAAGGGTGGTTAGGTATTGAGTAACTGATTCTTCTCTGAAAACTGCACCCAGATTGCTAACTGAAGAAACACTCCTCCCCCACTTTCAGGCCATGTTTTCTGCAGGGTTCTCATCTGAGTCGTGTTAGCCAATAAATTCGCTCTTTTTGCATAAGCAATTTAAGCTGGGTTTTCCCATCACCCGTCACTAGGGAAGCCTTCACGATAGAGCATAAAGTAACGAGCTCTGAGGCCCACTGTGGGTAGTGTGCAGTGGTCTGAATGTCTTATGCGGGCACTCAGATGGGGGTGGCCAAGGGAAGCTAGGGGAGGTGACCTCAGTCAAAGAGGGTAAGACTACCAGGAAGGCAGACAGACCAATCAAAAGGCAGCCTTGAAAAAAAATTCTAAGGGCTCTAGTTGACCAAGTGAACATGCTTTTCTTCAATCTGCCCAATGGGAGGTAGGAGAATGAAATAAGGGAAGAAAGAAGGAGAGCCCATGACAAAAGAGTGATGCCGCCCCCTTCTCATTCAGATAATAGGTACTCAAAAGCCAACTTGAGAAAAAATGTGCTGTTGTAAATTACCGTGACGCCAACAAATCCCTTGTAGCTTTGAATGTACCGGGTAATTTCCTCTGAGGATTTCTTACTTTGAAGAAATTCACATCTATAATTAATAAACAGAATTAAAATTTACCCTGATACTGTAATAGAGATGTCCTGTATCTTTATATAACTGCAGTGACACAATGGACATTTGTTAAAACTTACTGCATTGTGTGCTTTAAATTGCTCAATTTTATTTTACTTTGATAAAACTGTCAAAAAATTTACCCCAAAACTTATGACAATTATCATTATTCTCATATAATTATTATTTCCATTAACAACATGTGTAATAATTTAAAACTAAATCTTCAGATTATCTTCTCTCTTGAAACAAAATATAATTCAATCAAAGAGACAGATTTACAGTAATATATAGACTGGAGGGGGTTTTCTTTGTTAAATTAAACTATGGTGACTATATCTAGTTCCTGTGGTTAAATAAAAGTTACTGGCAGCAAGGATAACAAACAATAATAAATTTCATCCACTGAAAAACATATATCACTACTCTGTAAAAAAAAAACACAATGGAAATTAATAAATTGAATTTTTTAAAAAGAGTATGAGGAATACATTTTGAAAACACATTCCTGGGCTTCCCTGGTGGTGCAGTGGTTGAGAATCTGCCTGCTAATGCAGGGGAGCAGGGGACACAGGTTCGAGCCCTGGTCTGGGAGGATCCCACATGCCACGGAGCAACTAGGCCCGTGAGCCACAACTACTGAGCCTGCGTGTCTGGAGCATGTGCTCCGCAACAAGAGAGGCTGCGATAGTGAGACGCCTGCGCGCCGCGATGAAGAGTGGCCCCAGCTTGCCACAACTAGAGAAAGCCCTCGCACAGAAACGAAGACCCAACACGGCAAAAATAAATAAATAAATTAAAAAAAACAAAATAAAACATTCCTTTCCACAAAACAGAAGCAATTTTTTTTTTTTTTTTTTTTTTTTTTTGCGGTACGTGGGGCGCTCACTGTTGTGGCCTCTCCCGTTGCCGAGCACAGGCTCCGGAGGCGCAGGCTCAGTGGCCATGGCTCACAGGCCCAGCCGCTCCGCAGCATGTGAGATCTTCCTGGACCGGGACACGAACCCGTGTCCCCTGCATCGGCAGGCGGACTCTCAACCACTGCACCACCAGGGAAGCCCCAGAAGCAATTTTTAAGTTAACTTTAAAAAAATCTCTCTCATTCAAATTTAAGGTTGCTTTCTAGTGATTTTATAGTAACATGAGGGCTGAGAGTCAGGAGGCCAGAATGTTAGTCCCAGTTCTGCCACTAACGGGAAGTGATCAATCTTGCCACTGTTCTCTTATACAGACATGAGAAAGTGAACTCCACTAGGTGAGTCATATATTGTTCTAGGGCCACCACTCTGGGTAGCTAAGGTCCCCAAGTTTTAGATGTACAGATCCTTCCGAGGAGTGCCCCACACCTGTACGCAACCCAAATTCGTACACAATCCGCATAGCACATGACGGACAGGGCCCTCCCCACATGCTTAGTGTGGATTGAGAAGGTGCTCGATAGACACTACTTCTTTAAAAAAAGACAACAAAGGGCTTCCCTGGTGGCGCAGTGGTTAAGAATCCGCCTACCAATGCAGGGGACACGGGTTCGAGCCCTGATCCACGAAGATCCCACATGCCGTGGAGCAACTAAGCCCGGCAGCCACGACTACTGAGCCCATGTGCCACAACTACTAAAGCCTGTGCTCTAGAGCCCGCGAGCTACAACTAATGAGTCTGTGCTCTAGAGCCCGTGCTCCGCAGCAAGAGAAGTCACTGCAATGAGAAGCCCGTGCACTGCAACAAAGACCCAACACAGCCAAAAATAAAATAAATAACAAATAAATTACAAATATATATATAATGTTTAAAAAAATACAATAAAGATCAGCTTATTTTATTGATTTACAATTATTTAGTACACTGAGTACTACGTTTTAATGAGTAGGAGTAGACTCAGACATTGTGTCCATAGTTTATAAAAGCAGCAAACAAAGCCAAAATTGATGCCCAAACTGCTAAGGTTAGAGCACAACCAACAAGAAACCGGGGAATTCTTAGTTCTAATTCCAGCTCTGAAATGTAGTGGTTAAGCATATGCTCATGACGACAAATAGGTGGAAGGTCAAATGGTCATGGAATACACAGGAGTTTTTACAAGGCATTTGCGCCATATACTTTACTCATCACCCTCATAACAACCCTACAAGCTGTGGATTATCATTTTCATTTTTACACACGAGACTCAGAGGGTCAGTAATGGGGGTCACAAGTGGCCGGCTCTGTGTATCTGCGAGCCTCTGCACTCTGCCCTGCCCTTTGTATTGATAGCAGCAGACCTTAGCTCCTTCCACCTCTGGAGCTGAGTGCTGGACTCACATCTTCTCCCTATGCTTCTCACCTTTCCCTCAGTCCTACGTCAGAGAAGGTGGACCAGGGCCACCCAAGACAGGATGTGCAACTCTTGTTGGTGTTAGACCATCACATGATGGTTGATGTGAATGGTGCTGCTGGGAGTTGTCCAGTGTATAACCCAGTGACACTAAGCATTGTGGCCATGAGACTAAGTGAAGCTGTCGAGGCTACAGCTACGACAGGTGCCCAAGAGCCAGGGCTGATATTCACTCGGTACACACCCATGTGGTTCACTGCCAACACTCAGTATGATTGGCTGGGTGTCTATTCTTGACTGGTCAAGGAACCAGAATGACATTCAAAGTATTTAACCATCTGGCTTCCTGTATCCCTATAACTGTCTCATCTGCTTGTCAGGAAGAGCTCCCCTCCCTTTCCAATCTCCCTCTCCATCTCTCTCTCTTCCCCTCTTCCTTCTCTCCTTTGTTCCCTTCCTCCCTCCCACCCCCTCACTTTCTTTTCAACCATAAAAGAAATACACATTTGTTTCCCAGAATTTAAACAAGATAGAAGTGAACAAAGTAAAATATGAAAATCCCTCTCCACCTCATCTCCTGACAAACCCAAACCTCAAGAGTTCAATTGTTTGGTCTGTATATTTTCTTAACTTTTTCTATATATATTTCAAACAAGTTCATATATAGGCTGAATGGTTTTAAAGGCTTATACTACACATTATTTTGCATACTGCTTTTTTCACTTAACATATCAGACATACTTCCATTTTTGTGAGCATGGCTGTCCATGTGAAAGATGACTTATTGTAGGTCTGGTTGGACCTACGATCCAACCAGAAACTTCTTTGCATGTATGTGGTAGGTGTATGACAAATATGTTAAAGAAATAAACTATGAGCCGAAGCACACTGCTAGATCCAATTATTAGATTATAGGAAATACAGGAAGTAGAGAAACATGTTAAATGACACCACAGAAACATTCAGCCAAACACAGAGTGTAGGCAATTTTACAGGACAGACTACGGGGCTCCTTTCATGAGTAAGTGACAAGAAAAAGTCAGGGAGGAGGAAATCTGTAAATTAAAAATCTTGAGATATATCAACTAAATGTCATGTATGGACCTTGTTTGGATCCTGATTCAAATCAACCAATGGCAAAGAGAAAGTGAGGTGGGGGGATGTGGACATTTGAACACTGTCTCAGATATTTGATGTTATTGAGGAATTACTGTTAATCCTCTTTAGAAGACAGAATGATACTGTGGTTATGTTTCTTTAAAATATTTTTATATTTTAGAGTTATATACTAAAATACCAACAAGTGACATTATATGATGTCTGGGATTTGCTTTAAAATAATTTGGTTATTTTTATTTCTGGGGAAGGAGTGGGTGAGAGATGGGTAACATATGATTTGGCCATGTGTCGATAAGTGTTCTCTCTACTTGTATATGAAATTTTCCAAAATGAAAGTTTTAAAAATTGTTAAAGGAATGAATCTGTATTTGGTAGATACAGAGCCATGTAGAAAATACTAGTAAACATAACATTAGAAATAATTTTTAAAAGCACTTCATTTTCTAAGCAGAGAACTCAAGACCATTGTAATAATCAAAACTCTTACTGAGTTTTTGAAGTACAATGTTTTCATTTGGTATATATTCGGCAGTGCATGAAACCATTTGTAATAATGTTTTAAACATTGTCTTACTTTCCAACTTCCTTTATGTACCATTTTACATCATCCCTATGCAAATTATTCCTGTTTATTAAGGCAGATCCTGAAACTTATACTTGGCAAAACATATCTTAGTATTTTGGATAATAAAACAGTAAGAAACTATTTTGAAATTATATAATTAAAAATTTTCACGATATCATCAGGGCTTTCTTGCTTGAATAAATCCTGGAGTGTTCCAATTTAGGAGAGAGAAAGATCAAAACTGAAGGTTCTACTCTGGGAAGGTGACTCTTGCCTTTAGTTTTGTTTTGTCTTAAAAAAAAATTACAAGCAAAAAATATTTATCTACTTACTTGGGGAACCACTTGGCATGCTCCTTCCAGGGGTCATCATCATCTTCCCAATTTCCTAAACAGCCACCACAGGAAAAGCACTGTACAGTGTCACGTTTACCTGCATATGAAGGAAGACACTTAGATTGCCCGGCAACAGCACCATGAAATGGTCCAGAAGGGGTGTCTCCAGAAGTTGACTGCTCTGTGCATGAATGAGACACGTTCCATCCCATCTGCCCACTCACACTCTCATCTGGCTGAATCCTCATCCACAGCCCCACTGCCCTAAGTGACCATTTCCGAAGCCTGGGACCCCACCTCTCAGATGAGGCACACACAGAACTCTAAGCTGTTGGACTCAGTATGCTCACTGAAGTAGTGGGGAAGCAGAGGAATCCCCCGCACTCATGAAGTAAAGCGCGGTTAGAAGACCTAAGCTGTAGCTTTGCTATGAAATTTCAGTGGAAACTTAGGCACATTTCTTTTTTTTTCTTCACATTTGACATTTGTATTTGACAAGTATATTTTTCTTTTCTGACAACTGTTTTTAGGGGAACTACAAAGGGATCAACACACTAGCTTTCAAAACTAAGAAGAAAACTTACTTGAGGTTTAAGGCATTTTGAGATGTAAATGGTACACAAACTGGTAGGCAAATTACAATCAAACTACAGACTCCAACTTTTTTGAACACGACAGAAAGATCTGTTTTTTCTGCTTTTTACTCTGCTTCAGTTTCTATGTCAATTAGGACATTAACTGTAACATCTTGAAGAAATAAGTGATAAGCACATTGTGACATCTGGGGAATTCTATACCAGAAATCTCTTAAATTTTCTTCTTGGGTCCAACTTGGGTAACACCATCAAGGTGAATTTCTTCAGCTTCTGCTATTAATTAATTAACAATAGTAACAATTAACATTTGATATATCCAACATACACTGTGTGCCAAGCACTATGCAGTGTACCTGAGATGAATTGAAATACTTTGTCTCTTTTTCTTTTAACTTTTTATTTTATATTGGAGTACAGCCGATTAACAATGTTTGATAGTTTCAGGTGCACAGTAAAGCTACTCAGCCATACATATGCATGTATCCTTTGTCCCCCAAACTCCCCTCCCATCCAGCCTGCCACATAACATTGAGCAGAGTTCCCTGTGCTATACAGTAGGTCCATGTTGGTTATCCTTAGGCACATTTCTTAAACTCTTTGAGCCTCAATGAAGTCAACTGTGAAATGGGGGGAAAGGGCAAGTTTGTCAGATTAGTATTAGTGCTTAATCCATGCCTAGCATCAAGTAGGTACTCAGTAAATGATAGCTGTTTTTGTTATCACAATTCTCACTCAGCTCTGTCATAACATTTATGGCGTGGCTAGGATAATTCAAACAAAGTATCATTTTCTGAAATGCAACTTGCCCTATATGTTAGAGTTAGCTTTAAGGTTAAAACAAAAACAAAAACCCTACAATACTGCTGCAATTAAAAGAATCAAAGAAAGATCATTTCAGAGCAGCAAAAGGAGGATGGGTGAGAAGGAGACTGGGGTCAGGCTGACCTCACAGCTTATTTTCAGGGCCTTAGAAATCCAGTCAAGTATTGTCTAAGGTCCAAAGTTTTAGTAAAAGTCACTATCTTATTTTTTATATATTTTTGGTAAATTGACATGTACTACACATAAAATAAAGCTAAAGTGAAATTACTGAAGTTGAATTTTAATAAAAGAGACCTTATACCTAATATAACACATTGACCAAGTGAGGAAAGATTTACAATATTGCAACTGAAACATGGAACCTAAACTTAATTCCAGCAAAATATTTCAGAAAATGACTTCAAACTACCTGTAAAGACAAAGCCAGCAGCTGAGAGCTCCCTTGGGGCTGTCCCTTGGGCATAAAATGGCCATTTCTGGTAGGACTTGAGTCTGGCCTTCTCTTCTTGGTATCTTGCTTTGTCGTCCCTCCTCAACTTGTTCTCTGGATTCTTTACTCTTATATCATATTTGGCAATGTTACCAACATCTTTGCCCAAAAGGAACTCACAATCTGGATGGAACTTCTTATGGTCTTCCATGGGGGGTCTCTGGAGGCTGGTACCAAAGAGGATTAAGCTACAGCAGAAGCACTGAACCCCAGATTTTATGTCAGTGAAATAAAACCCAGCCGCTGCCATCTCCTGGGGTGTCCATGCACTGTAGTCGTCATAGGTCACAAAAGTCTTTAACCTTTTTGCTTCACTACGCATTTGAGAATTAAAGCCTTTTTGCATTTTTTCTCGTTCTTTCTGCTCCTCTTTTTCTATTTCCTTTACATATTGAAGCATATCTATGCCTAGAAGACCAGACAGCTCCGGGAGCAAAGCATAATCAAACTGGGAAATCCTCTCGTCAGGGGCTTTCTCCTGGGCGGCCATTTTCTGAAAAGGGGAAGAAAATGTTCGTGAACATCGCCACCTGGTTTACTAGTCCTGAGGTTTGTTTCAACCCTTTATTCTTTCTGTTTTTTCTTCTGAATAACACTGATCTTCTGCTCATCATTTAGCCCAATTCAGAGCAAATATGCAAGTAGGTCTGTGACAGCAGACCTTTATCCTGCCCTCAACAGTAAGGTCACCTATGGAGTCCAAACAGTTGGAGGCCCCCTTATCAGAGCCTCAATTGTCACTTAAGTTAAAGGCATAAAATAGGGGATACCCATATCATCATATAACAACTTCAAAGATGTGTGCTTGCATTCTCAACATTTCAAGAATCAACAAGGTATTCCACTTAATACCTATAGGTGGAGTTGAATATTTCCACTCTACCAGCTTTGCTCTATGTGCCCCGCCTTAATCCAGCTCAGCTGATTTAGAATTTGCCCATCTACCCACATTTCTGCAACAGTTGCAGCTAATTGAAGATCTTGATTAAGCCCAAGCATGCCCTTCATTTGGCAGTACCTAATGCAAGGAAAAGAGCTCCTTTGTCACTAATATGTTCAGTACATTTCAGCAATGGTTCCTCAGGAAGCTCTATCGGTCCACAAGGTTACTTGGCTTTTTGACTGAAGAGCTCCTTCATTTCAGTTGTCTCTTCATGCCCTCTCCCATAGAGTCCCTTTAGTGGATATCAGATGAGGGTCACATTCCAAACAAAAGAAATATCTGCCCAATTCTCCCTCTGGTATCATGTTCCTTCCCTTTACAGAAGGAACCGGCCAAAGCTTGGTGGACTTGGCAGCCTAGGGCTCTTTCTTAGTACTTTCATTTTTGCCAAAACAGCCCAAACCATGAAAAGTGGGAAAGAGATTTAGAACCAGGGATGCCAGGCTGGCTGCTGAGGACTTCCTTATTTGCCTCACTATTCTTGGCTGACTTTCCCTCTGTCCTTATTTCTGTTTCAACCTATTTAGCTGGTTCTTCTGGCTCTGGGTCTATCACCTTTAAATTCCATTCCTGGGGGCGGGGGAGGGATAAATTGGGAATTTGGGATTAACAGATACCCATTACTACATATAAAATAGATAAACAACAAGGATCTACTATATAGCACAGGAAACTATATTCAATATCTTGTAATAACCTATAATGGGAAAGGATCTTAAAAAAAGATATATATATATAAGTGAATCACTGTGCTGTATACCTGAAACATTGTGAATCAACTATACTTCAATAAATTTTTAAAAAATAGCAAAAAAAATATTCCATTGCTGTGCTTTTCTTCCCATGAATAATTATAGTACTAGGGCAAATTCAAACCAGGATGGCCTCAGCAGCCAACCTGGCATCAGTGGTTCTACGTCTTTCTCCCACTTTTCATCTTTTTTTCTCCTAAACAAAGCCGGAGCCAGCATTTAAATTAAGTCAAAAACTGTTCCCAGGACTTCCCTGGTAGTCCAGTGGGTGAGACTCCACGCTCCCAATGCAGGGGGCCCAGGTTCCATCCCTGTTCGGGGAACTAGATCCCTCATGCATGCTCCAACTAAGTCCGCATGCCACAACTTAAAAAAAAAAAAAAAGGATCCCGCATGCTGCAACTAAGACCTGGTACAGCCAAAATAAGTAAATAAATAATAAATAAATTAAAAAAAAATTGTTCCCATTATCCCATTCACACTGCCAACTTCAGCAAGTACACAGGGTCAGATAACTGAAAAAACTCACAAGCCCCTACACAGTATACTTACTTCAGAATTTAATAAAGGTAGAGGATAAGGTACAAAAATACAGGCAAACATCAGAGAGGTCTCAGACTCCAGCCCCAGTTTCTAGGACCCTTTCTCCGTTGTTCAGGACATGCTTCATTTTAGGTAATGAACCACCTAGATATGTGCAAGGTACCTTGGTCTCAGGGAAACCACACTGTCACCTGAGGAGGGGTCTTTTATGCCACTCCAGTCACGTGGCCCGAAGTAGGCTGCCTGACCAGTCTCAAACAAGCTGGTACGGGCTGCCCCCTGGTCTCTCAGATCCTAGCACAGGGCTACATTCATCGCTAGTTAGTATGTTTCATTTAGGTTTGGCCAACAGACAACACCATGGCTCCAGGCCTCCCTGGAGGTAAATAAGCACAGGGTGGCAACAAACCAGCTGGAATCAATCCTGCACTTCTACAGCAAAGTTCAGTGGTCAGTTTTGCTGGTATCCAGGCCATTTCCAGGAGGAGAGAAGATCTCCAATGCCCTCTCCAGGTTTCATGCTCATTAATTACAAGTGCTATGAGTGCCAGTGATGCTGCTGTGTTGTGCAAAGGATTTAAATCCACACCTGTATGACTCCAGTGCCTGTCCTCTTGCCTCCAAAGAGAGAAACAAGAGTAAGAGAAATAAGAGGGTCATAAGTTTAGGTGTGGAAGAAAAGCACTTTTGCCAGAGATGGTAATTTACTTACCTAGAGGTTTATCCAGAGCCCCGGTCAAATGGAAGGAGAATGCATAGTGTAAATACGAAGGCTCTCTTTGTCTTTTAGTGGGAAGCAGTGAGAACATATTTGAGGAACTGAAACTCAAAACAAGTTGCAGTTTTCTGAGAAATCACCAGTAAATGGTCTAGGGTGGTGAGTCAGCAGGGCTTAGTCAGGAACCAAAAGGTCTCACAAAACCTACCAAATCCCACAGCGGAAGTGTTTTATTCTAAATAATTTAAGATTGGTTAACGTTTCTGGTGCTAGTATAAGTCTTATTTCTTTGACGGCAGTTTCCATCTTTCTGGTATCTTTTAGGGTTTTCTCTTTTATCTGTGGGTTATAAAATTTCAAAGTTATTGTGCCTCAGTGTGGGTCTTCCTACATTCATTGGACCCAGTGGACTTGTTTCAAGCTGAACGTGTGGGCCTCCCATCAGCCCTGGGAAATTATCTTCTATAATTTCTTTGGTAATTCCCTACTGCCTACTATCCTCTTTTCCCTCTTTCTGGTATTCCCATTATTCAGATGGGAATTTATCACTGAAGTTTGTATCTTTTTTTTTTGCTCACATATTCTTTCGTGCTTTGGCTTTACTTTCTGGGAGGGTTCCTCTTCATTATCTTCCAACTTTACAATAAAAATTCTTTTTTTAATATTTATTTATTTGGCTGCACCGGGTCTTAGTTGCGGCACGCGGGATCTTTCAGTTGGGGCACGTGGGATCTTAGTTGCGGCATGCAGGATCTAGTTTCCTGACCATGGATGGAACCTGGACACCCTGCATTGGGAGCGCGGAGTCTTACCGGACCACCAGGGAAGTCCCACCAACAGTAATTATTAAGTTCAGCAATTATATTTTCAATTTCCCACAGCTCTTTCTTGTTGTCTCTTTCTTATTTTCACACAATCTGATTTTTTTAGCCAATGCAATCTTTTATGAACCTCTCCTATGCTGTCAAATGACAAAATTAAAACAACTTAATAATGAGTTTGTTGTCCTTCAGTCAAGGGAAAGCAATCCATAGACTGGGGGGAGCACAGTGTCTCACAGCGCTGCTCCAGAGGGATGGGGGGAAAGAGTGGGTTTTATAGAGAAGAGGCATGATTGGCTAAGAGGTCAGGGATTCATTATACGTCTAGCAGGTCAGGCAAACTAGGTAAAGCTGAGTTGGGGGATTGTGATTGGTTTATATTAGGTTTCCTTGACAGGTGTTTCCTCTAAGTGCAGGCTGACTTGGGTTTAGATTTGTGACTTGGGTTGGGCCACTGAGGCAGCCCCCATTTTGTGGGTCCCGATATACAAATTATCTTTATCAGTACTAATACAAATAAAGTTCACCTGCCTCCTGAATGATCTGTTTCCTCCAAGGCTAATTACCATTTACCTTTTTGTTCATTTTTCACATTACCAGCTTTCCTCAAATGTATACTGATCCTTGGTTTTCAATTCATGTTTGAAAATTAGGCGATTTCAAGGCCGACTGATCAAAATTATGGCCAAAAATTCTGATGAAAAGCCACATGAGTGTGACCTGAACCTAAGCCCTTTACTTTATGGAGAACAGATTGGGGAGCCAAGATTTACCCTGGAGAAGCCCTCAATGTCAGAGAAACACCTCAGAAAATGATTTCAAGTTAGCTGTAAAGTCAGAGCTAGCAGCTGAAAGCTCACTTGGTGTGTTCCTTGAGCACAGAATGACCAGTTCTTGAAGTATTCTTCATTTTGGGATGCCCAGGGCCCACCCTAGCTCCTCTAAGTCAGCTGAAACAGTTTATTCCATTTTTTTAGAAGAGAAGAGTCCACTAATTTTTTGCCTCAGTGTTAATAACACCTGCATATTAAATAGTCTGATGGTGGGGTGGATGGAGTCAACTGTCTCATGCAGAGACTTTAATTTAGTCTCTTGATTTTCAGCCCTTCCCATCATTCCTGTCCGCCTTCAACCTGGCATTCTGGGCCCCCAGCTGCTCCAGGGTTCTGTACAAGGTACAGAGTCTCCCAGGAGTTACATGTGTATTCAGGCTGTGGGCTCCTTTGGTCTGTTTCACTGGTTACTACCATTCCATTTGAGTTTCCACCTTCCAAAAATTTGTTAAAATATTCTGTATGCTGATGGTCCCCTCCTGCTTTCTTAATTTTTCTGGGTTTATAGTTTTAAAAATCATTTCAATAATATTGTGTAATTATTACCAATAATAACTAAAATTTGCTTAGAGCCTACTACTTGCCAGGCACAGTTCTAAAAACCTTAGATATGTCCATTTAATCCCTTTAACAGTCCAAATGAAGTAGCTATTTTTATTACCTACAATTTACAGATGAGAAAACCCAGGCACAAAGGGGTTCAGATTAACCAGACAGTCTGGCAACAGAGTCTGCACTTTTAACCACTGTGTTTGGCTGCTATAAAGGCTAGATATTAAGGAAAGGCAAACCCAGGTGTCCCAGAAAGCTCATGCTCTCTCCATTTTGGTAGTTTAGCCAATTGCTGAGTTACCAAGTCTTCAAGCTGTTACCAGCCTCATCG